GCAACCCGATATACATGGATAGATAGATAAGCTTCAGGATTGTCGGTTATCGTTGCTTGCGACAGAAGATCGGGTCGGTGGTCATTGACACTGCCCCCCCCCCCTCCCTTTTTTTTTTCTTATTCTCTGAATTCAAATTTGATGGTGGGTTCTCGGCACTGCATCTCTTTCATGTTCCTTCTATCTTGTTCTTCAGAGGTCATTCTATCTAATTTGTTATTACAAATACCTACTTTGAACCGAACATTGCCAAATCTACTCATAATACCACGGGGGACCAAGACAGACCAGACTATGATAAATGGGAAAAGCTTCCTTAAGGACGTTTAACATGATAATACTTCTTTCCGTGTAATGAGATGTCTTATTTCCTAGTTAATCCTTTATCAAATGTTCCGTAAGACATCTGAATGTCCGGTTCGAGGACCGAGGGAACAGCCTCGTTCGTTCTACAGTAAAATAGTTACTATGGTAGGACAGAAACATAGGTAGCATGCAGACAGGCTGACTGAATGACACGGGGTTTCCCCGCTGAGGGAAGTAGCTAGCTACCTCTGCCATGAGCTGTACATAAGGCTTGTTGATGACGGAGCCGTCAGCTCGCTGCAGACTTAGAGAAGAGAAAGAACAACGAAGAGATTCATCATTCATCAAAGGCTACGCTGATTCCACGCATCCATCACTGACCAAAACTCAACTCTCCTAACTCCTTCGCGAATATATATATATATATATGTATAAAAAAAAACCAAAAAAGAAATAGGTTATATTTCACAGCCCCGGAGATCTTCTACACTGCCTTGCACCCACCCACCCTCTCTATCACACTCACCCCCAAGTCTGTCTACCTCCGCCGCCGACCTGCTATCATCTCACCCGAACCGCAGCCAAGCCTTTTACTGACTCGACACAAACAAACAAACAAACAGGCTACGTATAACAGAGACAGAGCGAGGATGGAAAAAAAAACAGCACTCAATAAGTATACTACTCTGCCTGGAATAATTACCTAGGTAGTTAGGTTCTGTGATAAACAGCGCACAGAATGAGAGCAGCACACACAGAGCCATGACCTCTCAATCATTCAAAGACCGCTCAAATTACCGCCCGCTCAAACACCGCTCTACCATACCTATTTCCACCACCGTAATTCATCTATCCGGATCCTCCGGGGGAAAATCCTGTCACGAAAAAGTTACGTATCGTATCGTATCCCTCGCATCGGCAAATATATATATATATATCTCTCTCTCTCTTTTTCTAGACTAGTCTATTTCCGTCCCAGCCGGTATATATATATATATATATATAATCCACACACAATCCATATGAAAAAGTGTCAAGTCAAGTCCAAGTTTTGATATCGTACAACGACAAAATTCTAATTTACACTAAGTAGGTACGCTTTCCCCTTTTTTGTTTGTTTGTCTGTCTGTCTGTCTGTCTGTCTGTCTGTCTGTCTGTCCTCTATCTACCAACCAAACATAACAAAACAAAACAAAACAAAACAAAACAAAACAAAACAAAACAAAACCATACATATACAAGTCCTTAGAGATCTGCTAGATCCTCCCACTTGACTCGCTTGCCTGACGACGATGACGACGAAGACGGAAATCGTAGTTTGAGACTGGCGGCTTCTTCTTTTGTCTTTCTCTCTTTGGTTGGTGATTTTGTGGGGGTCTTTGTTGATAATGGTGATGTCGTCGGTTGTGTTGGTGATGATGTTGTGAGTGGTGATGTCGTCGGTTGTGTTGGTGCTGGTGCTGATGCTGGCGCTGGTGATGGTGGCGGTGGTGTCTTGGATTTGCTTGTCGTCGTCATTGGCTCCTTTTCAGCCCTCTTACGAGCTTCTTCTTGTACTTTGTTTTCTGGTGACCCCTTAGCCTCGACCTCGACCTCAACCTCAACCTCAGCCCCAACCGTAGCAGCCGCGGCCGTGGGTTGTTGTTGTTCTTGTTTTTGTTCTTCCACTACAACCTTCTTCGAATCGTCCGATAGAGAACTAGGATTGGGCTTAGCCGCCGCCGCCGCCGCCGCCGTCTCGTCGACATGGGCGTTCTTAGCAGCAGCAGGAGCAACCTCATTACCACTACCACCACCATTCAACCACTTATCCAACGTCTGCCCATCCACCGGTCCAAGCGCCATCGCTTCTTGCACCTCTTCATCTCCATCCCGATCCCCTTCTTTTACCCCACCCTTCTTAACCGCCCTCTTTGTTACCTCTCCCTCTCTTTCAAATAACTTCTTCACCTCCTCGAATGCCGGTTTGGTTCTTAACTTTGTCGGAATTTCGACCGGCTTCATTAGCTCTTCAATTGCATGCCTGTCGAGCCCGTCTGTCCGGAGGGCCAAGTGAAGCTCGCGGTCGCGGTCGAGGGCTTGCTGGAGGAGGGAACCGATGGGTGCGGAGGGTTCGAGGTAGAGGTATTTGGAGGCGAAGGACCAGGATCGGAAGGAGCCGTAGATGTTGCCCCATGTTGGTGATTCTGGTTCACTGGAGGATTGTGATTTGGGCTGAGGGATGCGGCTGCGGATGTGGTCGGGGTTGGAGGAAGAGGCAGGTAATGATGCTGCTGATGATGACGGGGGTATTGTCGGGCTGGAGGAGGGGTCCAGGAGGGACTGAGATTGGAACCAATCCCCTAACGTGGACGGTATTCGGTCATCATCATCCTCTTCCTGTTCGGCTATCTCTTCCATCTCTCGCTGGTGTTCCTGCTCTCCCTTGGCAATACCAGCAATAATCTTCCCAAACACCTCGTCGCCACCATTGGCCTGAATAAACTCGCCCAGTAAGAGGTTTCTCACAAACTGCACCCTCTCTTCATCCCCCAGTTTGAGTCTCCTCACCGACTTCTCCTCCTTTAGTTTCGCCGCGTCCATCTTCAACAGGATAGTCCCCTTCTGTCGCATATCGAAGGTTGTAGAGTTCACAAGATGGGCATACCGCCAGATTGTGCTGAGCACATGCGGCTTCTTTTGCCAGTGAGCCAGGTCAAAGAGTATGTCGCAGGCCAAATTATCCAGCTTCAGCGGGGTTTCGTTGTTTTTGGCGCGGTGACTCTCAAACAGCTGGATGAACTCGACAGCCAAATCCAGTTTCTTCTGCGCCTTGCAGTGCGCAAGAATGGTATTGACCGTGACGTGATCCGGGTACGCAATCAGCTTGCCGGCGAAGACTAGATCGAGCAACTGCCGGATCTCGGCGAACATTGAGTAGGAACCAAACACGTGGAAGATCTTGTTGAGCGCGTCGATGGAGACCCATTTCCTGTTGGCGCCGTAGAGTTCGTCCTGCTTGGCCAGGAAGGTGGGTACGTCCCAACCCAGCTGAACGGCGCGGTACGCATCGTGGGGCGCCATCTCGTCGGCGACCATGCGCAGCGCTCCGCGGGCGTTGAACAGCCCCCTGTCGTGCATGGCTTGCAAAACGTAGCGCTTGACCTCTTCGGCTTCGAACATGCGGAGGAACAAAATCCAGGTGCGTAGGTTGGGCTGGTACCCGCGCGTGACCAACAGGTACAAAACTGCGCTAAAGCGATACAACGAGCGGGTCTTGACGGCCGCTTCGGCGAGGATGTTGAAGACTCCGACGTCCAGTCGCACGCGTCCGCTCTGGGCGTAGTTGAACATGGAGAGCACCTCGGGACGCCAGGTCTCGCCGCCGCGGGTCATGTAGTGCAGAGCCATCTTGAAGGCCGCGTTGGTAACGAACTGGGCGGCGACTTCGTCGTTGAAGACAGCGACAAGCTGTTCGATGACGGCCATTTCGTGCCGGCCGTGTTCGGGGTAGAGCTTGGAGGCCAGGGCGGAGGGCATGCGGGATTTGATCAGGGCGTCGACGTATTCCTCAAAGGTCTTGCGGGTCCATTCCTCGGGTTTGGGAAACTCGTCGGCGCGGATGTTCACGTGGTAAGGCGCCAGCTGAGAGGGTGTGCGGTGGGCGGAAACGAACACGATGGGCGCACGGAGGAAGAAGTCTTTGCCGTCCCCTTTGCCGTTCCATAGTACCTTCTCCGTGCCTTCGGTTCGGGAGATGATGGTGACCTTCCTTGTCACGCCCAAAATCTCGTCAATGGCGGTGTTGACCGAGTGGTGATGGCCCCAGATGATCAGGTACGGGTGCTGGTCCTCAGTCCCTTCCTCATAACCGGCGTCCCCAGCCCTGTATAGTACCATCCCGCAGTTGGTCCGAGACTTAATATCCCACACACTGTACTCGCTGTCGGACAAGAGCCGGGGCGCCGTCTCGCGGGGTATGATGACCTTGACGTTGTCGGCGAACTGCTCGGGGAGGTACATGGGTGTCGATTGAAGGAGATTACGAAGAACGGCGCGCCAGTCCGTTCGATTGGTAGGTACCCTCGTTCCCATGACCATCTTTTGACGGTGGTTATCCTTCATGTGTGTCCTTACGCTCCCTCGTGTCTCGTACTGGTCGGGATATTCGGTGACGGGTCTGACGAAGACGGATTCGAGCACCGGATGGGCGCGGACAGGAACCTTGGCCAAACGGTTGACCAGGCCAGAGCCTCGGCCTCGTTTAGGTTTGGCCGACTTGGCCGTTTTGGCCTTTTTGACCGGAGGTAAACCATCCTGCTTATCCTGGACGTCCCGAGCCTGTGTTTGAGTTTGTTCCTGAGCTTCTTCTCGGGGTAGTGGTAGTGGTGGTGGTGGTGATGCTCGTGATGGTTCTGTTGGAGTTTGCGCGGCGGGGACGGGGTTTTCGCCAGAGTCGTGTACCTCAGTAGTAGTGTGCTGCCGCCGGCGCACATCGTTGGCCTCGAACTCGGCGTCGGTAGATTGAGACTGGTCGGGAAGCGACGGCGCTTGGCTGTGGAGGGCGCGAAGAGTCGATCTGCTGCTGGTGGGAGCTGCTCTAGCTAGTGCTGGGGTACACTCCCTAGGAATCAGGGAGAGCCCGCGAGCGCCATTGGGATTCGACAAGACTCTCCATAGCTGTTTGACTCCCAGGGACATTGGCTATAACACGGGCATTTCCGGACGGCGCTTTCCTCGCAGCCGCCGTGTTGGAATCGTGGTCGGAGTCGCTGTGTCGCGTTGCGCGCTGGTTCGGGTATGAATAATGTACTTTCTTCGCCTAGCTTCTGCTGTTGTGTGCTTATCGCGGGATTTCGGTGATGGTCGTCAGATTCTATAGTCGTATTATCGATAGTCGCCGTCTCAATTGCCCTAAAGCTCTGTACGTATACTCGAAAAAGGGACCGTGGAAAAAGATGCGCGCTCCCAGAGTCGCTGAAATCTAAAGGTGTTGAGGGGTATCGGCGGGCACGGGCCACTGGATGTTTCTCAAAAGCGCGGATCGATGCTTTTCAAAAATGTTTTTGGCTCTAAAATCATCCGTCCCTCCATCGATCCATATCGGGCCCGGTTCCTTTTTCCCCCCCACTTTCTCCCGCGGTCTGCAACGGCATGGGCTCGGCCTTTGGTGGATACGTCCGGACGTCACGGCGGGTGCGACTACAGTACCACAAACTGTGTACCTCCATCGCTCAAAAGTCAACAAACCCCTTTTTTTCTTCTTCATTCAATGTTTCTTAGTAGTACTGTAGTGATACTCAATATAAGGAGTGTGACGAAATTAGACACCAAATATGACATGCTTCGCTCTCGCACGCTGGGCTGGCTTTTGTGTACACTAGACTAGACATTACCTCCTCACGACTCCTCCATATCACTCACTCACTCACTCACTCACTCACTCTCACCAAATCACCAGATTACCCCGAAAAGATATCCAGCACCCCCGTCCACTGCCCACCACTCTTCGCCCTTTCCTCCCAATACCCCTCCTTCCCGCCCTTCAACTTCCACACCTCCTCGCCGTCCTGGCCCGTAGCCACCTTGACGAACCATTTCGGCTTATACTCCTCTCCTCTCTCCTCCATCTGCTTTCTGCGCACTCTCTGCGCCTCCTCCAACTTGACCTTCCACTCTTCAGCAGAGTCCAAATCGCCTTGCTCGTGGAACCGCTGATCGGGACGCAACCTGCTATCCGTAGGCGGCAACTTGTCCTTCTCCAAGGGTGTGATTTCATTCAGCGACGCGGCAAAGGTCGTAAAGCCATAAGTATTCGCCGCGTTGGGAACGAGGCTGCCCGCCTTCCAAATCTCCTTGCCTCCAGGGGCAGTCTTGAGACTGCTCGTCCAATTGCCCGTGAGCGCCTGGCCCGTGTTGGACCCGTCGGGACCAAACGTCTCGACGTGGACCTCTTCGCCTCGGCCACCGAACATGCCCTTAGCGGAACGGAACTCGACGACAGCCTTGGCGCCCGAAGTCTCGTTGTTAACGTTCATGTTGCCGACGGGCTCGACGTACTTCTCGCCGTAGACAACGTTGCGGAGGAAGACGGTGGCGATGTGCCAGCTGTAGAGCTCGTCGGTGCCGTCGGGGAGATGCAGGCTGACCCGCACACGGCCCTCGGTAGTGATTTCGGCACTCTTACCCCAGAACTTCTGCGAAGGAGCCGGCGACTGGGAGAAAGACCACAGAGCACTGTCGGCTTGTACGGCAAGGCGGACAGGGCGATGGCAGATTTTCTCGACCAGCACTCTAAACCCGCCAGGCACTTCGTTCTCGGAGCGCACCAGTTCGAACGTCTCACCCAACAGAGGGTTGAAGGGCTTGCGCGTAGCACGCTCCTTGGCACGACCGTTGCTGAACTGGGAGACAGCAAAGGCCGTAACATACAGAAGACGCTCGTTCGCGTCAGTCTTCTTGGCAGCCTCCGTGAGAAGCTGGCCGTATTCAAGCTGTTCCGCTATACGCTGGCACAGTGACAAAGGCTCGTTCGCAGAAACGGGCATACTGATCGTACTAAGATCTTTACCCACGTTCTTGCGGACGAACGCGATGAGACTGGGAGGAGGCACTTTGGCGGCCGGAATCGTCGTGCGTCTGGTAACCGTGTCTGTGATAGGCAGTGGCGCAAGAGACTTGGGCTTAACGGGGAACAGACTGTCATGGTTTTCTGTACCGACGCCTTCAAACTCCTCCTCTTCCTCGACAGAAGAGACTGATGAGGAGTCGTGGATATCGACCTCCTCCGCATCTGAGCCGGGCATGTCCTCTTCGCTCTGACGAATGATCATAACCTGGTTCTGTCCCGCGCCACCCTGCTCACCAGCCTCGGCATCAAAGAACTCATCAATGGTAGACGCTGTAGACTCGTAACTCTTTCTGGAAGCCGCAGGCATCATGTTAGGCGGCATCATTTGCGAAGGGATTCTTCGGCGCTTATTCTTAGACAGCAGCTGAGAAAACTCAACCACCACAGAATCCAAATCATTCAGAAGAGCCGCGCAGTTATCGTATGGGTTCCGCTCCTCCGCAACGGCCGTCGCACTGGCTGGCGATGGCACCGCCAGAGCAGCTCCAGTCGTTGCCTGAACGCCTGGTTGCGCGCCCGGCGAAGCATTGCTGGTCTTGCGCTTCCAAAACGGCCTGCGCGACTCCGTCGAGGGAGTGAAGTAGGTCTCAGAGTCCTCCGCAATCGCTGGCGTGTTGGGTGAGAGCAACGAGGCCTGACTAGCACCAGGCGCTTGTTTCTCGGCAGCCATATCCTTGACCAGGCGCCTGAGAGCATCTCTTGTTCCTGCAACCCTGCTAACCAAGGACTCGACCTGCGCCCATTCTCTTTCGTCCTCCTGCTGTGCGCTGGGTACGCTGGTGGAGGGCCGCGAAGCCGGTCTGTCAACACCAAGGGATGCGCCGTTGTTGAGGGTCTCCAGACCCCGAGCAATACGACTGGCCTTTTCCAAGGCCTTGGCCCAGTCGTTGAAGTCCTTGGGACCGGACGCCTTCAAGTGCCAGATCTCGGCACCAGAATCAATGGTAATCTCGCGCCGTCTTTCGTCAGCGGCAATGGCGGCCAAGCTCAGAGGGATAGCTCCTCGCAGGGCAGACGAGTTGCGGTTGTGGTAGTAGGATAGCGTGCAAGTCGTAAAGTCGAGGGAGAAGAAGCGCCTAGCAAAACCTTGGCCCTTCTTGCGACGTCTCTTGAGAAGCACACCGACGTGGTAGGTTGCGCCCGGCACAAATCCGCCCTCACTTCTCGCATTCGAGGCAGCACGGCCGCGCCCGGCGGTCTCATTGCTGGGTAGACTATCGACCGAGTCGGAATTGGCGGCGCCCAGTCGGGGAGTAGTACCTGCTCCCAAGCTCGTTCTGCTGGCGTTGGAGCCGGCCCCCGCTTGTACGGTAGGCAGATGGTGGGCAGTCTGGGGCGGGGCGCCGGTGGGGTAGGTAAGCAGAACAAACGTGGCCGTCTTGGACGTCTGCTTGGAGAAGGTGTTGTCGAAGACGAGACCGTACATGCCCGCACTGGTAACGTCGTATGTGCCCACTGTAACCTTGTCGGCCTCGCATTTGCCGTGCCACTGGATGGGGATAAAGCCCTTCTTGGCAAGCTGATCTTGCGCTGTGCTGGCATCTCTCCTGAACAGGCCTGATTTCGCATCGGACACAGCGGCCTCGGTGGCTGGGTGTTCGGGGGTGGCCGTGGCCTCGAAGGTCTGGGAGCCGGCAGCTGTACCGCCAGATCCTGGGTGCTTCACGATGGCGAAGTTGCTGTAGTCGTGTTGGTTGCAAGGTCAGCCAATGTCTATGAAGAGAGAGTTATGGGATTCGTAGGTATCCGTACATGGACTTCTTGTGTGGTTGAAGACTCCATGATATCGTATGGCCTTCATCAACCTTGACCCATCGCACAATGTAGGACTAAGGGGGTGAACAGCGGGTTCGTCGGTCAGCAACTCCCGTTGGCGAAGTCTATAAAAGCTTGGCTTGAACAGGTCAGGGAGCGTATACCTTGCTGTGAATCTCGAGCTGCTCGATGCCCGCCATGGTGGAAGTCGATGATCGGGAGCCTGGGTGTCGTGCTATATATGACAGTGAGGGTGGATGGATAGATGAATGAATGAATGAATGAATGCGGTAACCGAGGTCTGATCGTGGGGCCTGTCCGCCTCTTCAGCAACAGCAGCAGCTACTCTGTCCGCGTTAACAGAGTCGGAGACAAAGCTTCCGTGATCAATGGATGGGCTGGTGATGGAGGCGACCCATTAGAGGTAGTTAAAGCCCCAATACGGTCGGATGTTATGGTATAAGACTAGGGGTCCTGTTGATGTTGTCGAGTGCAATCGAAAGGAGGGAAAAAGCCGGGCGGTGGTGAACGGGGACCACTACAGCAATTAAACTGGCACATGGAACAGGGCGGCGCAGACCGGTCACAGGCACCGATCAACCCACCGTAGCACCCAATGGCCAGCCGACAGGGGGCGTTCCCGTCAATTCCACTTGTGTTCCCGTCAGACCGCCTGCCCGCCTGGCATTCCAGGGGGAAACAAAACAATGGAAAGGACCCGACGCCAATTCAATCCCCACCGGAGCTTCCATCCTTCCCGACATTCGGGGTCAGCGGACAATTGGTTACCTAACCTCCGATCGCCCGCTTTTCCTTCTTACTTACAGTAAGTACACTGCTCCCTTCCTTTCCCCATGTCTCACCTCATTCAGTTGAAACAACACCCCGATCCAACCCACGTTTACATATGTATGTATCACACCGAGAGCCATGGCATGGTCACCCCGACGACCTGCCATGCTACTGCCTAGCTGGAGGTTGCCTAGCGCTCAGCCTTATAGTACACCTTACAGGATTCTACGGGTTTCATTGGTCAGAAGGTCGTCGGCAACCTCGGCATGTGTGTTGTCATCCAGGATGTCGGTCTTCCAACTAGAATGGCATTGCCGGTTTCTAGAACTTTAAACGGTTCGGTGTCTTGCTGAGACTTAACACCAAATCCGTCCAGTCGTGAACCTTTTTCTTGGCGATGACAGTCTTGTTATCTGTCCAAGTGCCGCAAATGTTTGTCGATGAGTTGTAAACGAGCACCGGCACATCAAGTTGGATCATTGAACGTAATATCCGATTAAATGCCTTGTGAACCTTTTTTGTATTTCTCCATTACTGCTCTCCAAGTCAAATGGCTCTCCCCATTCCACCGTTGACTAAACTATATCGGCTTTTTGCAAGGTCTCTTGATCCACGACCCAATCTGATGTGAATACCTAAAGTCTATCCCACAATGAATAAATGCGCTGCCTCTTCAAAGCCCCAGTGTCCACTGCGGTCCAATTCCCAAAAGACAGAGAAACAACGAAACCCGAAACCCTATAGCCAATCAAGCAAACACCCATCGAAACCCCACTGCGTCTGCAATGCCAGACCTGTTGCAGTACTATCTGCCTCCTGACTGCTGCTTTAACATCTCACTCTGGTACCGAAGCTTGAAGCCGTTGCAGAGGGCCCTAACATCTGGGTACTGGCTCTTCATAAGCTCAAAAGCATGAGGGATGACGCGCACAGGCCAGGCATTGACTCGCGAGTTTCGGCTGGCCTTGAAGCAGAGGAAAAAGTAACCGGGGTGCTTGGTGTCGATGCAGAAGGCGTATGTCGACCGGTTGGGGTTGGCGTCCATGTACGTGGTGAGCCATTTCTCTGTTGGTCTTGGTTAGCATCTGCATCATCATGAATAGCATCAGTGTAGGTGGCTGAACTTACCAGTCTCATTACGGGAGCCCTTCTGGAACTTGTCGCACTGCATGAGCTCATCCACCTTCTTGGCCATGGCCTTGACGTGGTCCACGATCAACTCGTCCAGATCCTGGTATGTGTACTTGCCCACGCGGAGGACACGCCCGACAGCAAACTCGTTCTCCTTTTGTAGTTCGAGCACGTCGACGTGCTGGAACACACCATCCGCCACCTTCCAGGTCACGGCAAGGTGATCGTTACCTTTACTAGAAGGTCGGATTACAACCTCGCCAGACGGCTGACTGCCCAGATACTCCTCGGCCTGGGTGCTGTTAAAGGGCTTGAATAGAGGATGGTTGACCACTCTCTGCGCACGTCCCGTGCTCTTGTCCTTCTCGCGAAGCTCCTCCCTGTCCTCATCCTCCTTTCTGTAATCCCACTGATCGCGACCGTGGTCAAAGTGTCTTCGGAATGGCCGCCTCATCTCTTCATCTCTCATTGACAGTTTGCTCACAAATTCCTTACGGTTGAGATCAATGAGCTTCGCCTGAACGACCTGTCCGACATGGAGCACATCCTTGATGGAGTGGCGGTACGAAACATCGTGAGACTCAATGCGTCCCTCGATGCCGCAGTCCAGCTTGACAATGGCAAAATCATCCTTGACTACCCGAACGTTGGCCGCCACAATCATGCCCTCGCAGAGCGAATCACGGTTCTCACCCGTGAGCATGGTAAAGACCTGATCCACCGTAAGGCTCTCGAACTTCTTGCGCAGCTCTTCGTATGGTACCTGCAACTCAGCCCGGATGGTTTCAAGCGTAGCACGCTTGCGCTGTTGGTACTCGCGTTCGAGCTGTTCGGCATATTCCTCCAGGATGAGCTCGTTGACCTTGTCCTGCTCATCATCCTTGAAAAGCTTGCGAACAATAGCACCAGCACCGTTCTCGTCAGTTTCAGCCTTGACGTCCTCCTCGTCCAGGCCCAGTGCATCGGCTGCCACCTTCCGGGCGAGATCGTAATCCTCTGGATGGATACGAGTGTTGTCTAGCGGGTCGGACTCAGGATTCGTAGGCTCGTATTCGATGAACAGGAAACTGGCACAGTTGTTCCACACGCGAGGGCCAAGGACGGGGAGCTTGTGTCGCTCAGGGTCGCCGACAAGCTCGTCGCGAGAGGTGACAACTCCACCGTTCTTGTTGATACCCTTGATAAGCAGTTGTGCTTTACGGGGACCAAGACCAGCGACGTAGGGAAGAAGATGCGCGGTGTTGGCGTCCTGCATCGCCACGTTGATATCGACACCGACGAGGTTGACCATGTCGACCATGGCCGTCTCGAGGTGCTTGAGCAGCTTTGCCTGAGGAAGGTACTGCTGGTAGGGATGAATTTGAAGTGAGGTGACATCCTTGCCAAGGGCCGCATACTCCTTCATGGGGTTCTGCATATATCTAGCCAGAGCAATGCAGTACCGGGTCATCGGGTTGAGGCTTGGGTGATCTGCAACCGCACGAGGGCTGTCCTTGTACAACCGGGCGACCTCATCGTTGATGACAATCACCTCGAGCAGGTCAGAGCGGTACTCGTTGGTCTCCGGGTCATCGTATTCGGGGCCGACCAGTCCCTTTTCACTGACGAGGCCCTCAACGTCCTTGATGAGACGGTGTGTATCGGCTGAGAAACCGGAGATGCCAATAACATCAGGTTGCCGACGCCTGACTAGCTCAGCCAAGGCCTCACGTTGACTCTCATCGCGAGCTAGGTTGGTAAAGGTACCGTGTTCGAGAATCCTTCCATCCTCATCCATCGAGACCCAGGATACAGGTTCACGGTTGGGATCACCCATGCCATTCGATAGCGTGAGCACACGGGGGGTCGTGCCAATAACCATACCTTTGGGCTTATAAGGGGCTTGATCCAGTCTCTTGAAGTAGAGCTCACGGCAGGTTTTGAGCAGCTCATCCTGGCACGCCGTCCGCAAGGAGTCTTTCACACCCTTGACGATAACCTTTACAAGCTTGTCAAAGGCCAAATCGATCACCTTTTGGCGTTCCGCATTCCACTTGTCGGCAAGCTCGCTAAAGTTCTCCGAGGCAAAATCACTAAAAAGTTGTTGCCTGAATTCGCGGTCGTTCTCCAGCGAGACTTTGATTTCGATGAGCCCTTCTTCCTCTGCCTTCATCATCTTGAGGAAGAGCTCTGGGCGAACGGCAAGATCGGCGATAGACATGTTTTTAAGATACTTGACCTCGTAGTAAGGATTTGCTTCGTCAATCTTGCGTAGACCCTTATCAGTGCGACGGCAGCTCACAATGCCCATGCCGTAGAAGTTTTTCCTGAAGTGTTTGCGCATCCGAGGACTGGCAAACATTTCTTCAGCAAGCATCTGGCGAGCAGCATTGATGACCAGCTCGCCCGTCGGGAAATCGGCGTCTACCAATGTGTCGGCGAGGTCATCTGGTAGCCTTGAATCGTCCTCTGAGGTCACCTTGCTGCTTTCGCGCAGAATGTTCTTGGCAAGACGATCAGGCGTTATTCCGAGTGCCTGAACAAACTTGTAGGCATTGGATCGCCGGATGCGTTCAAATTGGGCTGTCCTGCCACCGGCCCTCTTAATCTCACGCTGTGCGCTATTATCGTTGGCAGCAAGGTCCTTGAGCTCCGCCGAATACTGGAAGTTTAGGTAATCTTGGAGATCCTGGAGCTCCTCGATGGACTGCGCTTGGCGTATCATCTCTTCAAGGATATCGTCCCGGGTCTTCTCCTTGAGCTTGTCGTAGGTTTGTTCGAGCGCGTTACGCTTTTCCAGGAAAGACCGGAACCTAATGTCGAGATCCAGGACCTTCCACAGGTCATCTTGGGTGAGGAGCTTCTCGGCATCAACAGTATATTCGGGAGCGTCAGGATCGTCGCGGCGATTCGGGTTGCGCATCTTCTTGGCGTGGATGAGGTAGTCTCTTCGGTGCTGAAAAACGTAGGGAACTTCGACGCCGTCGATAACGAAGAATTCGAGGACCTTGCCCACGGCCTTGTTGAACGGGCCGTGAAGCTCACTGGAAAGGTTCTTGCTGGGTAGCATCAGGTTGCTGATCCACCGAGCCTCCTCCTTAAACTGATCGGACGTCATCTGGAGATTCTTGAAAGCCTTGCGATCGAGCTGGAAGCGCTCAGGCTCGTCGTTGAACCGAATCCTGTTATCCTCGTCGGTAAGAAGCTTCTCCTTGAGCTGCGAAGGTTCAAAGACATCCTGCAACTCGATATCTTCCTTTGTTCGCTCCCCGTGCTCCTGCTCTTCCTCCAGCTGCAACGCCCATTCGTAGTCTTCACCATTACCGAAAATGGCATCCATATCCTCGAGAGCATCTTTATCGAGACCGGTTGTGTCAATGTTAAGACCCCTATCTTTGGGACGAGCGACCTCCTCATCTTCCTCGCGGTGTCGACGTTCTTCGTCATCCTCGGGGTAATCATCTTCGATGAAGTCGTCGAACTCGTCCGCTTGAGCCCGGCCGCTGGGACGGCCGTAGCCTCGATCATCGTGCTCTTCGTCCTCGTCGGAAAAGATCTCGGCAAGACCGCGACGTTCAGTGGGGCGGTGGTCATCCCTATGACCCCGTTTCAGGCGCTTGAACTTGGTTTGCTTGGAAAAAGGTGAGCCGACTGGATGATGTCACCGGAAACCGTAGAGCACATACCTGGGGTTGTGGCTTCCGCTCCCACTCAGGAATCGCTTCACCAATCAGGTCGAGATCTTCTTCGTCGAGCTGCTCCTCCTCTTCGCGCTCACGACGGCGCTTCTTTCTCCTGCGGCGTTCGCGCGCATCCGAATCCTCAGCCTCGTCCTCTTCATCTTCGTCTACGATGAAACCTTCGCGAATCTGTGAGCGATGGGTGTGTCAGCGGTATTCTCAACCGGAGGTATGCTACAGCATCGGGCCAGAGGCGGCGTACCTTTCTAGCCTCTTCCTCATCTTCGTCGTCTTCCTCCTCTTCGCTGGAATCATCAATGTTGGGTCTTCTTCTCGGGCGGTCGCCGGCCTCCTCATCAAAGGACTCATCATCCTCCTCGTCATCGAGCTCGGCCTCGCCGTCAATCAAGTCGCGCATGCTGTTGCTCATGGTTACGGCTGGTTGGAGTGGCGCAAACTGGTGTGTAAATAGGTGTCTTTTCGGACAAGTCTCGACCGCCTAAGAGGGTCGGAATTGGAAATGAAGCGCGTTTCGATGGGAGCAACAGTCGCTCTTAGGGTGCTGATGAAAGAGAAAAGAAGAATACAGGAGGAAGTTGGGTGCAGAGCGAGCTCGTTTGGTGAAAAAGAAGTGATTAGCAATTGAGGGAGGTCTGAGTTGACCGCGACTGCCCTGAACCTTTCTGGCCGAAAGGCTGCTTGCTGCTGCTGCGTACGTGCTGCTCGCTCCTAGTGAGGTGGTCGCCTGCCGCCAGGTCACGTCGGTTGGTGCACGCACGTCAATAGTGTCAGGAAGACCCGAATTTTTGGAGCGAGACCACGGCGGGCCAAGCAAGGCCCGGCCACCCGCCCCTGTACCCTCCAACTGAACTTTTTACGCCACGCGCCACATAACGCGTTCAGCCTCGCCAAGACCCAGGCCATAGAACTGAACAACTGAACGAAGTGTCGCTTCAAGTTGGATGAATCGATTACGGACAGAAACAACACATGGCTTGGCCCGTGCATATCGTCAACATCGAACGACGAGCAGCCATCACCAACTTGTCCCGAGTTCTTATGTTGTGTGATGGGATCTTTTACTGTGCTTGTCGTTCTGCTCACGAGCATGCCACAATGCCATTTCAGTTCATGTGAGGACAGTTCACGGATTTCGTCAGGCCAGTCTCGGACCGTCACAACCATACACCTTGACAGCCAAACAGTCTGGAGTTCATCGTGAGGAAAACAAAACAACAATATCGTATTCTGCATATTGGAGCATATGATGCGGTGTAGTGTACAGACACCAACCGACACGATCCATGCCCTCGAGGGGAGCTAGCAACGGAAGCTTTGACTGTGATGTTGAGCACACTGGACATGTTTATGCGAAGTTCAGTCGTCGTCCTGCGAACATCTCACCCATGCTTGAACTCTGGGGTCCGCATGGCTAAACTATATCTGAGGGACGTTCATGCCCTGCATCACGGAACTCACCACTTGAGTAGAAGCGAGCATCTTTGGTTTCAGATGCTCTTCGGGGTCATGATCCCCAGCCATCCGCGCTTAGACCCACCATTTGGCACGCATATCTCGAACAAGTCCCTGGCATCATCCGGATCACAGCCGACTGTTGGTTCTGGTCATGCCCAATCACAGCAGTATTTTGCTTGATTCGACATCTCATGGCGCGCTTCTTGAGAGCTCTGGGGTTGTACGAATATGACGTGCACTGTGCTTGCTGTGCTGCGGTTAGACTTGAGTTGAAGATTGTCCTGTCATTGGTATGTTGATGCTCTTTTTTGTTTTGCTGGTAACAGGGACATATGCGCGAGTTTCTTCATCTCTTGCCTGTAAGCGAGCTACACTACAAGAGCTTCACATGTTCCACTGGAGATAGGCTGTGCGCAGGATGGCACCGTCTATTTATAAGTACGTATGGCTACTTACCTGGGAATAGCTTCGTCCGGACCTCTCTCAGAGTCCGCACTGTATTTCCCCCCCACTACGGTGTGCCGTCCCCAGATCCAGAAGTGAACCGAATGTAACAAACACCATCCCATTTTCTGCAACTCAGATCACAGGTTCGTCTCGACTTCTTTGCCTCACATAGTGGCGCCACTGTCGAAGTTACAGATATTAGAAAAAGAAATAGTGCGTTAAAAGAAAGCCATGTTTTGTTTACACTGAAATATTGGTGTTACATGTACCGCTAAGTATATCAGACCCAGTGCCAAGCTCTTCGCATTACCAGGAAACCTTGTGCTTGCCCTCAGGAACCGACGAGGTACCTCTGGATCGCCCCTCCTTTCGTTGTCCTTGGGCTGAGACCTACCTCGCTATCTCTAGTGTGTGGAATGTCGTGGGTGGCAGTGCGTGACGGAGTTAGTGAGCACCGCTATACACCACTGTGCTAGTGGTAAGCACTATTGCCGGCCGTGCTCAACACGGAAACTAGGTGTAGTTAGAGAGTGCAACTACCTGTACAATTACCCCTTTCTCGAACCCAGAAAGATACCATCATTCACACGGGACCTGGCTACTACCTACTCGTCTTGTCAAGTGGAATGGGTGTTGTCTTTCGTCAATAGTGCCGTTCTTTTCTCTTCATTAGCTTTGGGGTCCCAGTCTTCCTTATCGGTCAAGTCGGACATTCTTCAAGACTTGGTGCTGCCAAGACACGTTAACAACTTTCTTCAGGACCTAGGTATGTACTGACATTTGCGCTAACAACTTGTTCCTGTTTCAATTCCTCGTAATTTCACAGGGTAAAGAAACATGATTGAAGCTTGGAAAATCGATTTAGTGATCCATTGCACGCTTTGACTAGATACTACCGTTTTCGGTGCTCTCACACTCTCCGTCTCCATGTTGAGGTGCTAGTCCCCCTCTTGAGCTCCCGTCGGGTTCCCGTCCCTCTTCTCGGCATCACAACCAGACCCCACCTTGGGACTGTGACCGGACAGAACAACGGCGAGACCTGACGGGACACAGCGTTATTACCACCTCTCTCTACCATACAACTTTCAACCTCTTTCCACCCTAAAAACATTGGCCTGTTCCCTCGACTTGGTGTCTCCTTCACCGCCTGGACTAAGGCTTCCCCTCTTCGAATAAATCCCCGCCAAAAGCGATTTGTCTTTGCGATTTAGTGTCCAGTCTTCTTTCTCCTTCAGCTGATAGCGCGTTTGTGGGACTGGGATACCGGACGACGGCATCAAAGGGTTATCATCATCACCAACCGCAGACCCTTGGCCCCCTTTTTACATTGCTTTTGGTTTTACGACAGTTAGTTTCGAATCGATCGCCTTCCCGCTCGGCTGCTTCTTTCCATCTTGGCCTTGGGTTGATTTAACAATAACAAATACCCAATCCCCAGCACTGACATTCCGGCCTGACGGTTGTCGACCTCGGAATCCACATCTCATCTCCGTACGAGTGGCGTATCGCATCGCATCAGGCTTCTATATCTGATCGCCTCCTCCCACCTCCAGTCCTCGACTTGTCAAGACATCCAAGACAGAAGAACGAGAGCGCCAGGACCTGCGACTCTCTCCAGACAAAACCGCAATAGAAGAAGCGTACCCGACTACGCTTAAACAGACATCATGGCCGACCCATTTGCCCCGCGCTCCATGAAGCGCAAGAACGTCAAAGGTCTTGCCTTGGCTCCTGCCGCTCCCAAGCCCCCGCCGACGGCCGAGACCTTTTACAAGGATAAAGACGACGACAACAATGCCCAGCTAGAGATCGGCATCGAGTTCAACCTGGACCTCAGGCCCGAAGATCTGGACCTCATCAAAGAGTTGGGAGCTGGAAACGGAGGCACAGTCAGCAAAGTCAGGCATATCCCGACAAATACAGTTATGGCTCGCAAGGTATGTTGGACAAGCCAAGGTTTCCAAGCTTCGCCGTTGTAAGCTCCGCTAACCAAGCATGGGCAGGTTATCCATGTTGAGGCCAAGAAGGAGATGCGCAAGCGTATCGTCCGCGAACTTCAAATCATGCACGGCTGCCATTCCGAGTACATTGTCACCTTCTATGGCGCCTTCCTTAACGAGCACAACGATGTGATTATGTGCATGGAGTACATGGATGTTGGGTATGTTGCCTCTTGGACCGCATGTTCTTTGCGCAGTGGAGACTGACTGACCTTGGTTGTGTAGCTCGCTCGACCGTATCTCCCGTGTCTTCGGTCCAGTCCGCGTTGATGTCCTCGGAAAGATTGCTGAAGCTACCCTCGGCGGTCTCACGTACCTCTACTCCAAACACCACATCATGCACAGAGACATCAAGCCCTCCAACATCCTCGTCAACTCAAAGGGCCACATCAAGCTTTGCGATTTCGGTGTTTCCGGAGAGCTAGTCAACTCTGTCGCCGACACCTTTGTGGGTACATCCACCTACATGGCTCCCGAAAGAATCCAGGGCGACAAGTACACAGTCAAGTCTGATGTGTGGAGTTTCGGCTTGACTGTCATGGAGTTGGCGATTGGCAAGTTCCCGTTCGCCAGTGATCAGCTTGGGGATGATGCTGAAAATGCTCCCGCCGGTATTCTCGACCTTCTCCAACAAATTGTTCACGAGCCAGCACCGAAGCTACCCAAGAGCGATGCTTTCCCACAAATCCTTGAGGATATGATCCAGAAGTGTCTTTACAAGGAACCCGAGAGGCGGCCGACGCCTCAAGAGCTCTTTGTAAGTTGTTCTTTTTACTTTACTGCGGCCATAGAGTTACTAACACCAAACCCAGGACCGCGATCCCTTTGTACAAGCGGCGAAGAGAACCCCGGTCGATCTGAGAGAGTGGGCCTGCAGCTTGATGGACCGGGACAACCGCAAGTCTCATCTGCAGCCACAACTCTCTCCGTCGTCGCACGATTTTCTAAGGTCCAGTGATGAGCCTACACCCACTTCAGGTGAGATTCCGATTCTGGGGACTATGGTGTCACCTCGTGATCAACATGGAAGCGTACCAACCCGACCCCCGCCAAGCAGCCGAACAGGCAGCGTTGGCCGCACAGGTGGACCGTCTGTACATCCGGGACTAGGGAGCCGAGCAGCTACGACTGGCTCTCAGCCCAGATACCCGCAGCAGGCTCCTCCTCCTCCTCCATTCGAAAAGAGGCCCTCCATGTCAACCGGCCATTCGTATACCAGTTCCTCGTCCTCGAGCCGATCGGGCTTCGCCCTACCCATCCGACCGGGGCCTCCGGGCCAGCCGATGCCGCCGCCGCCCCCACGAAGACAGTTGACAGCAGAGGAACTGCAGAGGGAAAGTCGCCGGCAAGCCGCAATGCAGCCTCCAACTGGCCGATTTTGAGTTGAGTGTTGCATATGATGGATTATGAGAGGATGTTTCTTGGCATAAATAATACTCAACCCCTCCCCCTATTTTTTTGCAGCTCCGCTTTGCCCGTTTACCCCCCTTTGTTTTGCATATATACGTTGACCTTCCCAGACTGCGTTTGATGTCACTTTTCTACACGCGCCTCAAGACCACCGGTTTGGTGAAGATAGTCATTCGAACAATCAGCGGGTCTACCCTGACGGTGCTGGCTCACCTCAGTGGTACGACAATGGCATTTTGTTAAGCAGAACGTTGGGTCTCTGTCAAATGGGTAGCTATGGTTATGGCCATCATGAGTGGGAATTGAGTTAACTGAGTACAAGGGAACGGGGGAGATGGTGGGTTGATGGTGCTTGATTTGAAGGAAAAGTGTATGTGTGAGAAACTCCGAGTTTGCATCTAAAATCTGATCTTTCTCAGGATGGGAACCATGTCTTGTCCGTTTTGCATTTGTTCAGAGAATGAGTACTGTCTATGATGGGTATCTAGGTATATCAGTGGGCGCAAGAAGTCATTTGTTGTGAGACATCCAAGCAAAATAATACAAAGAACTGTTGTTTCGTCTGGATATCATCCGTCATCTCCTCTCAACCTTTTCTTCTCGCTACTAGTGAAACTCGATTCTCGGCTTCTCCCCATTCACCCTTTACAACAACCCCTCCTCCAAAACGTCAACCAACTGGTCCAACCTCTCAATCACCAAATCCGTATGCTCATGATCCACCAAGTGCCTATTCACATCATTGACCAACAAGACGGTCTTGGCCCCCGCCCTCCGTCCAGCCGTCATATCATCAATACTATCCCCCACCATAATCAGCCCACTCGCATCCGCCACCCACTCCCCTTCCTCTGTCTTTTTCAGACCCTCTTCTGTACTTGCGCCATTCGTCGTCGTCGTCGTCTCCGTCGCAGCAGCAGCAGCAGCAGCAGCAGCAGCACTCTCATGCTCCTCCTCGCCCACCTCCGGCACACCGCTCTCCCCCGCTCCCGCCCGTCTCGCCAGCCCCCACGCCTTGGCAATGTGCAAGATACCCGCCGGATCCGGTTTCGGCGGGCGAAACTCCCTGGTCACGATTGGGTGGAAGACGGACCCGGCCAGGAACTTTTCGATCAGGTTGTTCACGGGCGCGTCAAAGTTGCGGGTGCAGATGCCCTTGCGGATCCCGCGCGCGTCGAGGTAGGACATGAGCGTCACCAGACCCGGCTGGGCGACTTGGGTGACCATGGCTTCGCGCTCGATGGACCGGATGGATTCCATGGCGGTGGCTTGGGCGGAGGGGGTGGGGAGGGAGTAGATGTGGTCGAGGATGTCGGTGGACTTGGAGATGGAGAGGGCGGAGCGCATGAGTGCGAACATGTAGGTTTGGGGTTCGCTTGGGGAGGGGGATGTGTTAGTATGGAGTGTTGAATGGTTTGAATGATTCTTTACTCTTGTCGAGGTGAAAGTGAGATTTCATTAGCTGATTTTGACAAAAAAAAACATACCATAATGTCCCGTCCATATCAAAGACCACGCCCTCCAGCTTGCGCAGTTGAGAGCCCGCCGCCGTGAAGGGCTCTTTCAGCGGCGCAAAGAACCGTTTCGAAGTGTTGTTAGTAATGTTGCTCATCATGAAAAGTGTCCGACGCATAGAAGGCGGTTGCCCGGAATTCTTTGGTGGTTTTTTTTTTTTTTGAGTGGGATGTAAATATCCCAAGAAGGTGGCCTATGTACTGGGATTTGAAGCCAGTCAGCCAGTCAGTCAATCCTGAGTCTGTTTCTATGAGCTCTTGGCGTTGTTTATTTGCGGCTGAGGCGCCAAGACTAGAAAGTCGTGATAATCGGCGGGCACCAGTGATGTTTAGGTGGTTCTCAAGTCGGGTCCCATTGTGTTTGACGATGACTTATCGCCGATACGTTATCATTACACTACAGCGCATTACCACCTATAACATTTGTTAACAGCTCGAAGTTCACCACCCCCCGCTTCACCGCCAAGAACCCCGCTGTCAAGTAAGGAAAGTACTTGTTTCGGTTAGGTTTACACTTTATTTACTTTTCAGGACTGTAGCGTAGGACGTCATCCGAAACTTCAAGCTGATGATAAGGGGCGAGAAGGTTACAGACATATATCACAATTCAACAAATAAACTTAGACGATGGACTACCTTAACTCCAGATCCGGACTTCAGATCATCATGATGGTCCAAGACATGAAGCAAGTGCTCGAGATCTTCCAGTTGCCTGCTTCACACCTACACGACATGGCAACAAGTATGGCAAGTGCGAATGAGCAGCGGCGGGACGGACAAGCTTACCCAACCGCTGGATGGCGCCGGAACGGGTCATGAGTTGCTTCACTTTAGCTTCTTCAACCAATCAACTTCAACTCCTCATGGGCGCGAGTCGCCGCCTTCATCTTTATAACGTCGCAATACCTTTATTACTCCTTGTTTTCATTGACTTCTTCCTAAGAATCCATACCTACCTATCGCACTCCCTCTAAGTACTTGCCTCCTCTAATTGTATCTGTTTCCCCTGCTTCGGTGGGCTCAACCGAACAAAAGACAGCGCCGAATATGCGCTTTAAGAATTTGAATCGGGAGCGCAAACCAACTTGAGAGAGAGTCTCCTTGAGAGCTCCTGTGTCATCATCGTGTCTTGTCTCCGTCAAACAATATGGCACCTTATCCTCAGGGTCCTCCTGCCGGTCGCAGGGTTTCTAAGAGAAGTGTTTGTTCCGCCT